ATTCCTCACTCCGAATCCTACCCACTCCAAATCATGTCCACTCCAATTCATGCTCATTCCGATTACGTGTAGGTAAACATACCATAGAACTCTTTATAAAAGGCCGGTGATAAACCCACATAGCTTATCACTGCCTCCAAGTGATTAAAAGCTAAGGCTCCTTTAATTTCATTGATTTGAGTTTAGAATTCGAGTTTTATTACAGTAAAAATCTCTCAAAAACAATCACATTTAACTTTTTTACTACAGTAAACATCTTTCATATAAAGTCACATCTCAACTCAAATCAGCGAAATAAACGGACCCTTAAAGTATGTTATTATGCAGCACTGGATTTAAACTTTTTTTTTTTTTGCCTCCTTTTATGATATAGTACCAAAAAAGAAAAAAGAAAATTGTACTCAACTTTTCGTGAACAAATGGACGTGACTAATTCGTGATTATTTGATGCTTTAGCTTCTATGACCGCACATTTACTGTGATTTCTCTCGCTCTTTAACATTAAATCATGTCGTTGGTGTTTTGTTTCTTGCCCTTTTGGCATCTTAAACTATTCTAGTAGTAAACAGAATATATTGACGGAGTTGTTCTTAGTAGAAATAAGATTTCACTTCTGAAAATCAATCTCAATTAAGAAAACAACATATTACAAATGAGACGTACCTCTAGAAAGCGATTCATATTACTATAATATTACTCTCTAGATTCTCACTTTTTCCTTTAATTTTCCATCCTACCTGTATGTTGAAAGCAACAAAAAACCTGTATGTTGAAAGCAAAAAAAAAAAAAAAAAAAAAAAAAAAGCTAGCGTCTGAAAAAAAAAAAACAGCTAGCGTCTGAATACAAATGATTAACAAAATGTTCCATTTAGTTTGAAAACTGAGGTGATTACGAGGGTATTTTTGTAAGAATAAAGCTCTGTTGCATAGGCTATTTTATGGATTAGGATTCCAAATCCAGGGTTTTATTGATTTATTGACGGTGAAAATTCATCAACAAAGAATTAACGAATTTTGAGATAAAATTGCGATATAAATATAGAAGAATTAGTGTTAAATGCAGCAAAAATAAGAATACACAAAGATTTATAGTGATTTACCATCGATATTTAAAATACAAATCTTGACTCTCGGAGCAAATTTTACGGATTCATTATCTTTCTGTAGTCTCGACTTCATAAGAGTCGGGCGAAGCCTCTTCGCCCAAGGTGTAGCCTAAAGTCCTGTCTCCCTTGAATACTTCTTTGAGCCTTGCAAAACCTCGACTCCTTAAACACTTGGTCTTACAAAACCTTGACTCCTTAAACACTTTCTTGATATTGAGAAGCCTCAACTTCATAAGGATTGAACAAAGTCTCTTCTCTCTAGACACAGCCTGAAACCTCATCCCCTTAAAGTTTTTTGATTGGTCGACATCCAACCGTTATTATTTAATGTTGATAACGTGGTATCAAGGTTGAGTTGTTCTTGTACTCTTAATGAGCTTTTTAGTGACATTAGGCCTTCTTAATAGGTCTCTGTACCCTACTGTTAGTAATTGTTTTGTCAATCATTCAACTACCTTTTCTGTTTGGTTTGTTGAAATGGAAAGTGCAAGTTTTTTGTTTCCATTTTTTTTTTCCTTTTTGTATGAACAAGTCTCTTTTTTTTTTTTGTATTAAAAAAAAAGTCAATTAAAACTAAACTCTTAGCCTCTCAAAATTGTTCCCGTAGAACGCTGGCCATAAATATTCTCCTAAACTTAAATTTCCATAATATTCCATCAATAAATATATGATCAGAAGTCAAAAAACATATCCCGCAAAAATATAATATATAACGTCGGTCCACATGATGCAACACAACAAATCAGGTAAAAACAACAAATTGGAAAAATGGGTCAAAAAGGAACTTGTTCAGAATTTGCAGCGTTTATTACGTGTCGTATTCATGATTTTCTCAACATGTCACGGACGCTTTCGTCCTCTTTGCCGACACAGTCGACGCTCTATCTCGCTCACGAACTGGTTGCCCTTTTGTGCTGTTTTCGGTTACTCTCATTTTTGTTTTTTAGTCTTGAGCAACCTCTTGTCTTTTGCGTTGTTGTTATTATCAAGATAAATTTCATTAAATATTTTCAAAATTTTTAGTAGGATAACTATTCGTCTTCCAAATCATAATTCGTCTTATTTAAATCTCGTTCACTTCGCAGATTTAAATTTTTAATTTGAGTTGAGATGTGACATTTTCTGAGAGTTTTTTACTGTAACAGAAAAAATTAGATGTGATATTTTTTAAGAACTTTTTATTATAAAAATCTAAAACTGAAAACTCAAATCGGTGAAATGAACGAGTCCCTCCAACTTTAAGATTGTATCGTATAAACCACCGAAATAGGAGGAAAAATAAAACACAACTAGTCACGATCATACCATTTGGATGCCAAACTGACGCCATGTGCTGGGATTAAACACAAACTAATGATACATATATTCTTTCTTGAGTAGGAAAAAGACGTTTTTGCTCGATGAAAAGAGAATTTTCTGTATCATATTTATGAAACTTTTTAAAATAATACATCAATTTTAACTTTTAAGTACTAATAATTCAAACTTAAAAATCCAAATAAAAGCAAATATTAACTATACCATTTCAATTCATAATTTTGTCGACTTTTGTTGACTTTAAACTTTACAGAGTGATAAAATACTATTAAGAGTTTCAAACCATTTGCATAAGAAATAAAAGAAAAAAATATATAGTTACACAATTGTTTTTGTTCAAGATTGATTGCCTAAATCCTTTTATATAGTTACACAATCTTTGTTAAAAAAATATGCGGGCATGTAATTTGTAGCCAAGTTTATGGAGCACGTTAATGATTTGTTGCATGGGCTGAAATGTGGATCGAATGACCAAAACAAATCGTGTCTTTCGGTTTCGTGCTGCTTACGCTATATGGTGAGTGAGCTCAATTGTACATAACAAAGGCCATGTTTGAAATTGATCCCATTTTTATTTTTCACGTTTTTTTTTAAATGAAAATGTTCTCAAAACGGCGTTTGGCGCAATAAAGACAAAAAATGAAAATGAAAACGATTTTTTGGTTTAGTGTAAAATGATAGAGAAATGAAAAATGACTTTTAATCGTTTTTCATTTTTTATTTTCATTTTCTCCTCCGGAGCAGAGAGAGAAAGAGAGACATTAATGAGTTTTTTTACACTGAAAACAATCTCTTGATAAAACTACCAAACGCATTTTTAAAAATAATTTCTGTCTAAAATTAAAAACGTTTTCATTTTCATTTTCATTTTCATATAAAAAATAAAATCATTTTAAAACAAGTTTCAAACGCACCCAAAGATTGTGATGCCGAATGGTGTGCAATAGTCTTTAGTTAAAAAAAAAAATGAAAAAAAAATGAGGGAATTCTGAGTTTTCTTTGTTTTTTTTAGTTTTCTTTGTTTTTTTCATTGCTGAAAAAGTTACTTGAGGCTACAATAAAAGAAATGGAAAATTATATTTCATACCTAGTATTATGAGGTTTTATTAAAAAATTAACAATTTGCGTTTTGAGCTCTTGCACTTTTGGACCTTGCCAATTTATGCTCAATCTATATCATTTCTCAACTGTCCATTTTGATAGTGAGATTTCGAGAATTGCCTTGATCACAAATAATCAAATTTGTTTGGTTCCATGACTATAAATAATACACCATTAACAAGAAAGGTTTGTGGCGAAATTTCATTGGTAAAAAATAAACAGTTGACCGGCAACCGGTTTAAATTAAGGTCAAGTGCAAAAGCGTGAACATGGTGGCAGTTGAAATTAGGTAGCCAGTAATTATCAGCGAGGAAAAATGACCACAAAACGACCATAACAAATGTTGACTAGAAGATGCTCAACCTTGGTTGATCATACCAACTTCAGAGTCATACTTGGATGATTCAAACTATGATTTGAATCATGGTTCATGATTCGCTACAGTGTTTTCTCTAATAAAAAATACACGTAAATTAAAAATAATTCTAATCACATGATTCTAATTCATGAACCAAATGTCTCCTACATTCAAAATTTAAAGCGAGCATAAACAAATGAAAAAAAAAAAAAGGTAAAGGAAAAGCACTTTCATAGTGGTCCGACCCATTGGAATGCCACACCATAATTCCTTTGTTTCCACCTAGACCGCGAAATGGACACTAAAGTTGGCCAATTTCTAACTATGTTTTTCCACTCTGAAAAAATAAAGAAATAAATAAATAAGGGTCTTATTCTTTTCACAACTTAAGTCACGACTCGAGTTCTATTATTACAGTGTTTTCTCTCATAAAAATTTAAATTTAGCTTTTTTGCTATAACGTTTTTCTCTCACGTGCACAAGAACTTGAGTTGTGAAACAAACATACATAAAATATAAAAAAGATACGAACTAGTTCCTTTTACTAAAAAATGTCCATTTTCAACACGCTACCTAGGGTATTTGGGATGTGTTTGGTTTCACAGATAGCATAGGCAAAAGAAAAGAACAAAGGACTAAAAGGCTTCTGAATGGAATCGAAATCAAGCTACTATGAAAATCTAACGAAGTAACTCAAAATGCAGCTGCCATCAATGTGCAGTCTTTTTAAGGAAGATCCAAGAAAAAGGCGTGGACATTTGGTTCACAGATTCAGAACCATTCTCGGATTACGTGTGTTTTTTTATGAGAAAAAATACTGTAGCGAGTCACGAATCATGATTCGAACTATGACACGAATCTTCATACCAAACACCCTCTAAATATCTTGAAAGAAGCTTAAAAATTTACTGAAGCCTGGATTTAAGGTGACTACCTGAGGTTTGTCCATTGTGTGACAATGCGGCACATAGCTTCCTCAAACACCAAGGCAAATGACCGAGGGAAATAGTAGAGAAGAAAGATATATTATCCTTTCTAGAGAAGAGAATACACAGACCAAAATTCTTCTCACTCTGAAAATCAGTGCAGCATATCGAAAATAAAACCAATTATATTTATTTTCCAATTTGAAAATCCGCGTAATGTAGGCCTTTATATCTTCAATACAATCAAGTCTACTGTGCTTCCCAATTTGGAATGTTAGCGGTGGCTTCATTTACCATCTTTACAAGGGTAACCTGCAGACAAGATAAAACATAAAGTTGCCATATGTATAGATGGAAGTATCTCTGTATATTTGTGAGAGAGTGCCTCAAACAAACATCAAGTAACATAAAAATGTGGACGTTTAATTCATAGATTCAGAATCATTCTCGATTTACGTATATTTTTTGTGAGAGAAAACACTATAGCGAGCCACGAATTGTGATCCGAACCATGACACGAATCCACTAACCAAACGCACACTTAGTATTTATGATTGACAGATATATCTATGATTGGCTGACGTATTATATCCTTAAGGGTCTTATCAATTACACAAGAAAAAACAATCATCTGGCTCTTGAGACTTTCAGATTTGAAAGAACTTAGAGCCCGTTTGGTTTATAGATTAGAACCATGTGTTGAGAATTATTTTCGATTTACGTGTATTTTTTGTAAAAGAAAATACTGTAGCGAACCACGAATCATAATTCGAATCAGGGAACGAATCCCTTTACCAAACGGGCTCTTAGATATTTCTTTTTCTTTAATTTTATTGGGTCCCGGAACTTGATCATATATAGACCTTTTCTGTTTAGTGCTCTTTTCTTTTCTCTTTTTCCCGTAAGTCTCTTTGTTCTCTATATCCCTATTCTTTTATTAGTTCATATAACCAATATGTTTTGTTTCTTACTAAAAAGTTTGCTTCTTGTTAATGGATTTCAAAAGAATCAATGTGTAAGACCTCTTATTCCCAACAAACTTTTGTGACGCAAAATGATTGACTCTTCTAACTTATACATACACAAATATTAAACAGATAGAAAAAAAAAAACACTTGAAAAATAAAAGAATATGATGGTTCAAAGCGTAATGGGTCCAAAAAAATAATCATAACAATTCAATTCATAGCTCGAGCATTTAGAACACAATAGACTAAAAGATTGAGTAATTAATTGATAAATTAAGCTTGAAGCAAATTCTAAGTTGCGAGATTTAATCTTAATTGGTTATCGTTCAGCGAAAAGAAAAGAAAAGAAAAGGAAAAAAAAAAAAAAAAAATTTGATGCCAACTTACGTTTGGTTGGAGGATTCAAACCATGTGATTCGAACTATTTTCGATTTACGTGAATTTTTTTGTGAGAGAAAATACTGTAGCGAACCATGAATCATGATTCGAATCGGGAACGAATCCCTCTACCAAACATAATTATTCTTTTGAAAACTAAACATATGTAATTTTCAAATATAAACATATTACTGTAGACATACCACACTTTCAGGAACCCCAGGTGGTGGCAGCGAGAGATTTTTTGGTGGAGGTCCACGTAAATATGATCTCTTGTCAAATCTCCACTCACCAATTTTACCATATGTCAATTCACCCTGCATAAGAAGCAGCCTTAGATGCAGGTACTAATTTTGAATTACAGAGAGGTAATCATTTTTCGAAATTTAGAAAGCACTCAGCTCTCTCAATATTTTAAAAATAATGATAGTAAATGAATTATAGATGGGAATCATTTTTCAAAATTTAGAGAGCGAATTTAAAGAAAAAAATTAAAAAACAGGATCACATCACTATAATACAAAAGGAATATAGAAAGCCATAACTGGAATAGCAACTTATCATAAGCTAATGATAGAAAGTAGGAAAGATATTATTTTACCTTTAAGTTGTAGTCACATCCATAAGTAAAATGAATTATGAACTTCTTACCAATGTCCAAATCCCACGGGGGCTGAAAATTTAACAAGAAAAGAATTCATTAGAAAAGCTTCTGTGTAAACATGCGACAAAATTTGTCCCATTTCTTCTCATAAATGGAAAGAAAGGTAAACCAAATTATAATAAAAGAGCTTCACTAGGTTACATATCAAACCTGAAGCATAAAGTCCCTCCGGAGAATATGCTGCACCCCATGTAAAGCAGATGCCACAGCATAGGCATACCTTTGTTCAACAAAAATGGATCAATAAATATACCACTACCAGCTAGATTTGAGAAAATGGTAAACTATGCAATCCCTTTGTTTTCCTGTGCTTACATTTCTAGCACCCATCCGAAAACTTTGTCGGCCTCAGGGTCGTCTTTCATTCTCAAAGAAACATTCATCCAGGTAGGAGCAATCTTTTCCAGCAAGTCCTGACTTAATGAATCCGCATGTTAGACTCTTCTTTTTTTTCTCAAGCACATGTAAATGACGAAAATAACTGTAAAAACAGTTGTGGTAGAGATGGTCAAAACAACAATGAAAAAGGTAAAGTAGGGGAAAAGAAGGAGAATCTCCATGCCGAAAAAAATAAAAAAAATCCTTTCTATCTCATACCTCCAGAAGTTTTGTTTCCAAAGACAAAATACAATGTCCATTACCAGAGCAAGATCAAGCCATAAGTTAAACAAGCAATTCCAATATTGTTACCTTCCTGATAATGACAGGGGAATTGCCAATTGGATCAATATTTGTCACCGGGCCATTTTCCTCGGGATAAAACTTCCTCAAGATCTTTTCATGCTGAGCAGGCGTAATGTAGAAAAATGGGAAACCAGCAGGATAATCTCCATGTGCCAAATTAGGGAGAGGCCTCACAAATACATGATCAGGCTCTGCCATCAATATGTATCTGCAGCAATAGAGCGAGGAAATGGTTTAGATACATAGTTAAGGTATGTCTCAAACAATTCAAAACCATCAACCAAGAAAAAACTCACTCTTCTTCAATTGTAGCCTTCTCTAGCCACTGAACGAAAGCCCATGGTCTGTTTAACACAATATACCCCTGTACAGAGGTTACAATCAGCCCAACAAAGTCTAAAGAGAATATAATAAATTAGATACGTGCACACTGATAATGACAACAAAACGTATATGGCTACAAGAGTTAAATATGAGGAAAAAGAAGGAAAAACGGCCTCTAAATGGTCCTTTTCTTTTTTGGAAAGGAAAACAAAACTGTTGGTACTGGTTTGAGTCTTTTAACACTTTATAAGACAATATGAATAATGCGGAAATATAAAATAAAAGAACACTAGAACAAAGAACAAAGAAAAAGTACCTATGAGGCACCACTCTTATAATATGTATATAATAGTATAATTATGTATGCATGTACGTATGACTATGAGGCACCAGTCATAAATATGGGCGAAAAAGGGACAAAAATCATAGTTCAATTTTCAGATTATAAATAAGAGGAATAGCTAGCGAAAAGACAACGCAGAGCACAGGCATGTTCAGTATCTTGAGAACTAGTTTAGGATCTATGGAAGAAAAGAAACAAGAGTAAGCGAAGACCAGAGGTTATACTTGAACTTGACAAGTGAACTTGAAATATTAGAGTGCTGTTCTTGCCTGTAAGGTAATCAAAGCATAAACTTTTGGTTCTTCATATTTTATTTTATATGCTGATCTGCTGGTCGGAAGAACAATTTAATCAAAGAAAATAGTAAAAAACATGCAGAGGAATAAAACTCCAACAATAAAACAAAGTACAGACCCTTTCGAAAGAAAAACAAAGGATAACTTATCATCTCTCGTCAACCAAGGCACTAGAGGAAGGTTCAGATATCCACAACAGTTCTTCAATCTCACTTCTGCCTAAACTTTAACAAATCCCTACCTACAAAGACACCAGATATTGAGAAAGTACCTATTCAAAGCCATCTTCCTTAAACAGAAACCATTTTCCACCAAGTGTACACATATGACAACAATGCGGAGACAAACATGAGCCAAGTGTTCCACTATATTCCAACTCCACAACTAAGAATCCAATTTATAGCAAAAATAGAAAAATAATAAATAATAACACTCTGAAATAAGATAAAACTCAACTCTAATAAGCGGAAAACAATCCCTAATTAATATACTACCTCAGATATCATTATTATCTCATACTATATTGCATTACCAACGTCCGTAGATTCCGGTACTAAAATGAAATGAAGAGAGGACAAGCAGTTCTTCTTACAAAGGCCTTTCGAAATATAAACGAAACTTGAAGACAAATAGTTGTCAATCAACATGGCAGCAAACACTGGAAGGGAAAACATTTCCTCCAGTGATCTCCAAGACACATCTTCCCCGAACATGTCTATTATGGAATGCCTTGGTAATACCATTTAAATATAAGCCTGTTTGGCTATTCCTTCTCAGATTAACTGACTGATTAGCTACAAGACCAGCATCAGTAATTATCTTGCTCCACATGATGGGGCATTATTCAAAAGTACTCTCAGTATAGATCAATTGCTAGTCCTCGCAGACTAAAACACAGACAGATGCAAATATAAGAATTCAAGCAAAAGTTCGTTTTTCAAGCAACTGATCAAAGACTTTATTACAAGAAAACTTAAACAAACAGACATGACAAATCAAATAGATAGAAAACAAGGAACCAATTAAATGTAGAGGAGTCAAAGAAGTCCTACACGGTCTAGACCTGCGGGAAGAGGATCAACTATAACAGTAGGAATCTCCTCCATCAAGTTATCAGGATTTCCTGAATGCAAAATCCGAGTAAATCCTCCCATCTCAGACCCCTGCATGTCCTTCTGTTTCTTATACCAGTAGTACATAATGCGACATTGCCATTTGCTATAAGGAGCATCGGTGGCAGTTAAAGCAACATGGAAGAGTGACCTGGAATTCTTTGGCCGTCTAACATTCTTAGGCATCTCGACAATAGGGTCAGACAATAATGTATGATGTGAAAAACCACCTAACGATTTCCCAGCAGATCTATAGTTGTTTACCATAGTTAACAAATTATATGTGGCAAAGAAAACTCCAAGAGCCAAAAGAACCAAAAGTAATGGCGAAGAACGTCCCATAGCATTCCTTCCGATCATTGTTGATTATATTGGCAAACTCTTGGATTTTCTAAATTCATAACATAGAAAGTTTCCTTTTTATCCCAATATTAATAAACTGTCCATGAAAAGTATATCTTGTTCTATAGTTCAGAACATTATGCAGATGTGGTTTTGAAGCCGATACTTTACCACATCACTCTCAAACTAGAATGAGGGAGTACCTACCAAAAAAAAAAAAAAAAAAAGGCTCCAATAAGTAAAAGATCCTAATGGCATACAGATTGACATAAAAAAAATAGTCGCAACAGATGAAACCATTATCCAAAGTAAAACAAAACAAAACAAAAACAAAAAAAACAAAGTCAATGCTATACAAGAAATTCTACCACATTCATAGAAAAAAGGGGTAGAGGAAAAATAGCATGAGAAGCGCGAGGGGTGTGATTTCTCTCGTAATTTTCTAGTTTATTATAGTGAAATTCTGCAACAGCTAAAAATGGACGCATAAATCTTATGTGTTCTTATTTGCCTTTTCTTTTATATTATTGCTCATACTGGTAAAGATTTATGGCTTTAATCCGTAACATAAACTAATCTCAAGCGTTCCAAACTGGAGAAGCATACAAAAGAAATATCCACTTCATCCATCAGACAGAACATAATTAAGAGCATCGTATCTGAGAAATAGATAAACAAAAATGCATACAAGTCAAAGGAAAAAAAAGGGGGGGTCAACGATAGATTAATATCTCTCACAAATTGAATCGTCGGAGGCAAGGAACAAAAGGTTCCCAAACGACCAACAAAATAATTGTTATAAGCACAGATCATAAGAATTCAAAACCATATCATTGCAATTCTCATTGCAAAAGAGTGAATAAATTTCGAAATTAGATATGAAATGCATATAGAATTCAAAGCCTAATACGGGAATTCTTACGCAAGAACACACTAGAAAAGAACGACAATCAAAAGTCAACTATGAAACCCAGAAGAGCCGAAAGATCACAGAACAAACAAAAACCAAAGTACAAAGCCTATGCAATACGAGATTGGAAAAGCAGAGGGACAGGGAGGGTAGGACCTTAACGTGCGCGCATGGAGAGAGACAAAGATTGGAAAAAAATAGGCCTTTGATGAGACGTATGTGCTAAAGAGGTTTGAAAAGTTGGCATTGGAGAATGGAGTCTTTCGCTTCATTCTCTTTTATACTGCTTGACATGGCCCACCAACGCACCAACCTCATAATTTTTACTTCATGTGGTATTACATTTAGGTTATTTTCAGTAGTTTATTGTATCTTATAAAGTGTCTGTGTTGTATGGTATTGTTTTGTATTATCATTTTTTTTTAATAGAAAAGCAATGCATTAAACCACAAAGAAAGGGCCAAGAAACTAGCCACCAAAACAACATAATCCCCCCAGCTTTATATTGTCATTATCCAATACAATGTCTGATGTTATAACATATTCTATAACTGATCAAAAAGTAATTTTTCAATATTTCAGGGGTTAAAATATAATTTTTCAAAAAGTTTGATGTTAAAATGTATTTTGTCAAAAATATTGAGTCAAAATAGAATTTTTGAAAATAAGAGGTCAAAACATAGAATTTTAATATTTATGGAGTCAAAATGTATAAAAATTTAGGGGTTATAATATAATTTTTGGAAAGTACATGTTTGCATCAAGAACCCTTAACTGAGGACGTTTGGTTTATGTATTCAGAATCATGATTTAGAATCACGATTCAAAATTATTCTCGTTTTATGCGTGTTTTTTGTGAGAGAAAAACACTGTAAAGAACCATGAATCATGATTCAGAATCAGGGACGAATATAGGAAACAAACGTCCCAGCAATTTGATTCAAAATTAATATTTATTGAATTTAAAATATAAATAACGTTATCGAATTTAAAAAAGAACACTTGCATTTTATTATTGTTTAAAAAAATAAAAAAAATAAAAAAAATTATATAACTATCCCTTTATAATCAATTAGTAATGAATTTTTCAAAATAGCTTACCACTTAGTGTCAAATTATTGAAGCGGAGAAAAGTAAAAGGAAAAAAAATTATTAACCATTTTAACTAAATATATAAAACGGCTAATATGATTAGAGATGCTCTTAATAGATTTTTGTTAGTACTAATTCTCCATTTACAGTGTTAATTCTATATAATAACTTTAATTATTAATTTTTGTTGATTGTAGCAGCATCATAAAAAAATACAATCTTGCATGCATGTTTTTTTCCCGATTCGAATTAAAAATTTGAATTTAAAAGTAATTTTGTATGAGAAAGAATATTGTAATAAAAAATTAAATTTAAATTTTTATGAGAAAAATATTATAATAAAAAATTTAAGATTATGATCCAGTTGTGAAAATAACATATAGC